AAGGGGGGGTAATTAGCAGAGGGGGCAATTAATAGAAGTGATGAAGGGGTAATTAGAGGGGAATTAATTAAGGGGGGCAGTTAATGGGGGTAATTAGTGCGGGGTAATGAAGGAAGGAGGTGGCTACGGGGGGGGAAATGGTTGGGGTGATGAGTGTGGGGGGTTAATTAACGGGCTAATTAAGGGGTAATTAATTAGAGGGGGTAATTAATAGGGGTAATTAGTGGGGGTAACGAGGAGGGGCAGTTAATGAGAAATTAGTTAGTGCGATAATTATAGGAAGCCTTCATTAATGAAATAATTCCATGCAGTTTCAGTTAAGCGCGGGATCATTAATTAAGGCGCCATTAATTAGAGGCCTAATTAATCAGCGGCGTTAGTTAATGGGGTGCTCCGCGTTAATTAATGGGGTGCTCAGCGCGAACGAAGGGCGCAATCAGCGTTAATTAAGCGGCTAATCAGAGTCGATCCGGGGCTCGTTAAGGCCTAACGAATCCGAGCTTCATTAATTAAAGAGCCCTTAATTAAGGGCCGTTAATTGGGGTCCGGTTGCTGCGCTCTGGGGCTTCGCAATAGGGGCCTCCGGAGGCCACGCCCCCCTTTAGGCCACGCCCCCTTTAGGCCACGCCTCCTTTAATAAAGCCACGCCCACCGCAGCTTAGGCCACGCCCCCAAACTCCGCGGGGTCACCCGAGGTCACGCAGTGACGTCACCGCCGCGCCCCCCTCCCCTCCCCCCACCGGGTTATTTTTAGGGAAAGGTCACAGCGGTGGAGGAGGGGCGGCTCTTAAAGGGGCGATGGCACCATGGGGGGGGTGTGAGTCTGTATGCGGGGTCCACCTCTGGTATCGCCCTTTTAATTAATACCTACTATTACAATTACGTTTGTAGTTATTCTGTTAATTAATGACACCATCCCTTCAATTAACTCAATTCCTAATGCCTTAATTGCTCCTCCCTTTTAGTTTCCACGCCCCCCTTAATTACCACACCTCCTTAATTACCACGCCCACTTAATTACCATGCATCCCTTAATTACCCCGCCCCCCTAATTACTCCACCCCTTAATTACCTCACCACTTGAAATAATCCACCCCATTAATTACCCGGCTCCCTTAATTACCCTATGTTCTTATCCCATTAATTAACCCAACCCCCTTAATAACCCCGCCCCCTTAAATCCTTCCCTCCTCCTTAATTACCCCATCCCCTTAATTACCCTATTCTTTTATCCCCGTAATTACTCTTCCTAATTCATTAACCCAGTCCTCCTAATTACTCCACCTCCTTAATTATTCCTTTCAGTTAATTACCTCTTTAATCACCTCTTTATCTTAACTTACACTCTTAATTAACCCAGCCCCCTTAATTACACCTTAATTATTTCTCCGTTCTATTGCTCTCCAACACTCTCGCTTTTCCCTTTAATTCCTCATCCCCTTAATTAATTATCCCCGGCATTAATTACCCCGTTGCCCCTCCCCCAGCGCAGTTCCCGCCTCTCGCGAGGCTCGCACGGCAACTCTCGCCGTGACGTCACCGCGCCGCGCCGCCGTCGCGCTTTTATGACGTCACAGCCGAGCTCTTCCTCATTCTGCTGCAGCGGCCCGGCCGCGCAGCAGCTCCGGAGGAGGGGGGTCGCGCGTCGCCGCGCTCCGACGTCGGTCTGACGTCACCGTGACGTAGCTGTGACGTCATTTCCCGCGTTCTCCACACCGAGGGGGTCGCCATGGTGTCGTTGCTGTGCTGCGGGCCCAAGCTGGCGGCGTGCGGCATCGTCCTGAGCGCCTGGGGAGTCGTCATGCTGGTGAGGGGGGGGGGG